ATGTGTTTTACATTTGGCAAGGGCATGAATTTTTTAGAGCCAAAGGGTGGAATGTTATGGATTGAATTGTGTCACCCCAAAATGTGTATTGGTTTGGCTGGGCCATGATTCCCAGTGTTGTGTGGTTGTCTACCATTTTGTCATCTGTTGTGATTTTCCTGTGTATTGTGGATCCTGTCTCTGTGGTGTTGGTGGGGCAGGATTGGAGGTGGTTATGTTGACGTGGTGGGACTTGATCCACACAACTGGGTTGTGTCTTGGGTCAATCTCTTTTGAGATGTGGGAGACAGAAGCGAGCAGAGAGAGGAGGGACCTCAAATCACCAAGAAAGTAGTGCCTGGAGCACAGCGAGTCCTTTGGACCTGGGGTCCCTGTGCTAAGAAGCTCATAGACCAGGGGAAGATTGATGACAAAGACCTTCCCCCAGAACCGATAGAGACTGAAAGCCTTCCCCTGGAGTTGGCGCCCTGAATTAAGACTTCTAGTCTGCTAGATTGTGAGAGAATTAACTTCTGTTTGTTAAAGCCATTCACTTGTGGTATTTCTGTTATAGCAGCACTAGATAACTAAGACAGTTGCTAACTGAAAAGTTGGCTGTTCAAACGCACACTGCAGAAGAAAAGATCTGGTGATCTTCTTCCGTAAAGATTACAGCCAAGAAAACCCTATGGAACAATTGTATCCTGAGTTGGAGGCCAACTCAATGGCAGCTAGCAACAACATTAGCATCAATGTCCTTCTAATCACCTGAGCTAGAAATGTGGTGATTTTACTTCTTGAATCCCCATTTGATCCTCTATGAATTTATGTTGTCCCAGCAGATCTGTTCCAGTCTCCACACTACTGGGACAGGTCCTCATTATTCTTTCCTGGGCTTGTGTAATTTCCTCCCATTAGTGTCCCTGCTTTTCTCCCCCTAGACCCCACCCCATCCTTCATTCTGCTGTCAGATTTGTTATTCAAAGACACAGATATGGCCATGTCACTCTCTTATTTGACAGTGTTAATTAAACCACAGTGTCAATAAAAATCAAGTCCAATTTTCTTAGCATGATCTTCCAGGGCTTTGCAATTGGGCTTCCTTCTTGCACATATTTTCCAGAGTATACCTCCATCTCCATCCTCATGCTCAAATCACACCTATCTGCCTATCACACTCCAAATATACCTTTCATTTTCCAGTTTGCAATATCATTCCCCCAAATATCTGCCCAACTTGTACCTAAACTACAAGATCCAAATCCAGCGTCATCTTATCAGTGAAATTTCTCTTCTGATACCACCAGTCCTGATAATGATAGCTAATGCATAATAGGCTGTTCTTATGTTCCAGTCTCTATTACTAGCTGTTTTACAGGTAGTATTTTATTTAATAGGAGCCCTGGTGGCACAACAATAAAGTGCTTGGCTGCTAACCGTAAGGTTGGCAGTTCGAACCCATCTAGCAGTTTTGCGGGAGAAAGACCTGACTATCTGCTCCCATTAAGATTAAAAAGAAACAAACAAACAAACGAAACAAAAACCCAAACCCATTGCTGTTGAGCCGACTCCGACTCATAGATACCCTATAGGACAGAGTAGAACTGCCCTGTAGGGTTTCCAAGAAGCAGCTGGTGGGTTCAAACTGCCAATCTTTTGGTTAGCAGCTGAGCTCTTACCACTGCAACAGGGCTTCCCATAAAGATTACAGCCTAGGAAACTCCATGAGACAGTAATACTCTGTCACATGAGGTCACTGTGAATTGGAATCTACTCGATGGCACTCAACATCAATCACAATCACAACAACATTTTATTTAATCCTTACAACAACACTCTGAAACAATACTCATTGATATAAGAGCTGTTCTTACCTCTTTCTGATTGTGTGCGCCTGAGACAACCATCAAATCTCTCAAACCTCAGTTTCCTAGTCTGCGTAATGGGGACGCCAATCTATAACTTCATGGTGGTTATGAGGATGGTTGAACAAATGCATGGAAATAATTTTCTCATGTAAAGTAGCCAGTACAGTGCCTGACACACAGAACGTGCTCAAGAAATCGTAGCTAAACTTCATACCCAAATTCCTCCCCATCACCTTATACAATTATTCATCTGGAAGGTTTTAAAATTCAAACTTAATTCAAAAAGTATAGCTTTTTAAATGTGCCCTTATTCATAGCCAGTTGTAATACAGATACTGGGATTAATTAAATTGGAATCTCGGCTTCAAAGGCTAGAGTTCAAGCTTTTCAAAGGTTAAAAAGAAAGCCACCATTTTCACTACCACAACTGAAAGTATTTGAAACATGAAACAAATTTGAGTCCTCAAAATTAAATTAAAGAAATTCATTCAACTCAATTTGTTGACCTCTTTCTCTATGAAAGGCACTATGGCACTAGCTGTGTCTTGTTCCTCAAAAGAACAGTATGTCGTCTAGGAGTGTAAGGTTGATTTGGGAGAACCAGGTGTTCACACCAGACAGTCTGAGGCTCCCTGATACAGCCATGCCCCAATCTGAGGTGTAAATGCTTGCAAATGTGGTGAAAATGTTGAGGGAAGGTTGGTAACTTAACTTGGAGATAGCATTTTTATCTTTCTAAATCACAAAGATAACCTTTTTGTAACCCTCAAACAAAAACAACAAATCTAGGACTTTGATGCAGTTCAGAGCTTTCTCTCCTATGCATTGAGGTGTTCTTTCCATAAGACTTGAATCTAAAATGAGCTGTATGTAATCCCTCACAAAGGACACAGGAAGCAGAGAACTGGATGCGTGAAAAATGGAAAAGCAAGAGAGTCTAATCATATTTTAAGAAAATATTGGTGGAGTGGGGCCGTGTATTCATGTGTGCAGGAACTCAATACTGATATTTTCTTATTGGTTGGTTTTTTTCTTTCTTCCTCCAACCAGGCAGAATATGATGGCAATTTATAAAATATTGTTCAGTTGTATTCTGCATTAAGCAATATGTTTGTCTCAAAGAGAAGAAGAATAACAGTTTGCTGTTGCTCCCCAAGGAAAGTTTACACCCATATAGCATCCTTTGGATGCTGGTCATCAGCTATGGTCTTTGTTCTGGGGCTCTTTGGCACCCCTCTGAGGTTAATTGGTGCTTGCCCCACTGCTTGCCCTGCTCCATGTTCAGGAGGGAGTTTAACATGGAACTTTAAAGGAGTAATATTCCCAGCACCAAGTCCCTGGGTGGTGCAAACAGTTAACATGCTCGGCTGCTAACTGAAAGGTTGGAGGTTTGAGTATACTAAGAGACACTTCAGAAGAAAGGCCTGGTGATCTGCTTCCAAAAAATCAGCCATTAAAAACCCCACTGCGCACAGTTCTACTCTGACACACATGGGGTTACCATGAGTTTGAATTCGCTCCACGGCAACTGGAGTAGAGTCGATTCTGACTGTAGCGACCTTTTAGGACAGAATAGAACTGCCCCATAGGGTTTCCAAGGAGCGGCTGGTGGATTCAAACTGCTAATCTTTTGGTCATTAGCCGAGAGCTTAACCACTAAACCACCAAGGCTCCTGTATTCACAGCACAAGCCCTCAGATATCAACAATAAACCCACAAGCCCTCAGATATCAACAATAAACCCCCAAGCCCTCAGATATCGACAATAAACCCACAAGCCCTCAGATATCAACAATAAACCCAGGTCTCTGTCAGAGGTCAGAGCTGTCAGTTGTTAGGGGCCATCAAGTCGATTTTGACTCCTAGAAACCCCATGTGACAGAGTAGAACTACCTCATAGGATTTTCTAGACTGTAATCTTTATGGGAGCAGATCCCCAGGTTCTTCTCTAGTGGAGCTGCTGCGTGGGTTCAAACCTCCAACCTTTCGGTTACCAGCTGAGCTGCTTACCCATGCACCACCAGGCTGTTAGTTGGAAGGGTTCAAATCTGTATTTTGAACTGAGGAGGCAAAACAACCAAATGCAATGTTATGGATGGTTTGGATTATGTAAAAGCTTCCCTTCCCCTTATTTCTTAAAAAATCTAGGAAATTTTAACACGGGCTAGATATTAGATGATACTAAGGAATTGTTAATTTTGTTAGGCTTGATAATATATAACATTGCAGTTAAGTAAGACAGTGTTTCTTTTTTAAAAGGGATAATTACTGCAAGGTGTAGAGTGAAATGATATGATGCTTGAGATTTGATTTAAAATACTGAAGGAAAAAAGATGATGAAGCAGTTGTGCAAAATTTGATAACTGGAATCTGGGCAATGGGTATAAAGAGGTTTATTATAATATTTTATCTATATTTGTGCATATTTGGAAATTTTTATGATAAAAAAAGTTCCTACTTTGCCACTTCCTACCCTATGACTTTGGCCGAATCACTTAACCTCTTTGTTTCCTCGACAGCAAAGTAGAGGGTCTCTCTGTCTTAGGTGTGCTGTATGGATTGAGTCAGATACTAAAAGTTAAGTGCTTAGCACAGGGCCTACAACAGAGCAAGCACTCAATAATTATTGATTATCATTAGTACTGTGTACAGATATGGAGTCGGAGGAAAGCTTTTCCCATTGTTAAACACTCTCACTGCTGGCTTATTTGAGCCTCCTCTCCAACCCGTAGGGGCCCTGGTGGTGCAGTGGTTAAGTGCTTGGCTGCTAACCTAAAGGTCCCCTGTTTGAACCTATCAGCCAATCTGCAGAAGAAAGAAGTGCTAATCTGCTTCCATAAAGATTACAGCCTTGGAAACCCCATGGGGCAGCTCTACTCTGTCCTCTAGGGTTGTTATGAGTCGGAATTGACTTGCTAGCAATGGGCTGGCTCCAATCCCTGAGTCAGGCCTTGACTTATAAAAAATGGAAATACACACAGGCAAATGCTAAACCTAAGGCTTAATTCTAATTATCACTCCAATGATACATGTACTTTCAGACAATAGAAGCCACTGAAAATTAGACATCAGCTAATGAGGGTAGAGAGAGGGGAGAAATTTGGAAGGAAAATATACCACAAAACAATGTTCGCTGGTTAACACACTTTATATTTAACAAAATAATTTTTTAATAATATATTCTTTTACACATCAAATATTGTTGCTAGAATCCCCTTTTTACAGTTTAGTTTTTAGTTGTTTTGTTTTGTTCTTTTTCTCACTAGCTTTCAGGCACACCAGTTTTCAAAGATTTTAGAAACTGAATCGTTTTTAACAGGCATCAGCTGACAAACAGGATGTTGATCCCTTATTTAAACATAGCTGTAGTTAAAGCAGAGAACCAAAGGCGGCGGAGACATAGGAGCGGAGAGGTGACAGTTTGGATGCAAACAAAGCCTTCAAAAGAAAACAACAATGAGACCAGCATTCTGTTGTTCAGAGTTTGGAAAGAATTTCTCAATGACCTGGATAGAAGGAAGTTGTAAAATGTTTATCATTTTATGAGAAATTCTGTCACAGTATAGGTTCATCTCTCCCTAAAGGGGGAAAGATGTCAATGCTACAAAGTCTTGAAAGAAACAGCTTGTAGTGAAACTCTGAGGAAAAAAAAAAAATTCCAACAACAACAAAAATCCCTCTCTCTGGCTGGTAACAGAGGCTACGGAGCAGCCTTCCTTTTGCATACTCTCTGGAGAGTGTTTCTTGGATGTTTTATACTTCATTCTAGAAAAGTCTTGCTGTGACTATCACGGTGCCAAGACTTTGAAGCAAAATACAGTACCCTGGCTTCCCAGTTGCACTCTCTTTCTGCCTCTATAAAGGACATAGTAACTCCTTAATAATGGATAAGGTACTATGCTCCATGGCTCTATTAATGATATTTTCTGGGTTTCAAACCTTATTCCTGTCATTTATTATTATTATTATTTCTTTCTGAGAGTGTGGTTTTTTGAAGCTGGCAACAGGCAACCTCAGGGCAAAGAAAGCTCTGTAACACATCTCTGTCTAGACACAAGCTCAAGTGTGGAATGCCTTTACCTTGGAGTGCAGGAATAAATCATTCGGAATTGTTCATGAATGATTCATGACTGTCTATATGATGTATCCATGGTGGCAACTGAAAGGCACCACGCTTGCTGCAAATTGGTGTTCTAAGGGAAGGCGGCTTGATGTTCTTCCTCAGGATGGTGCCGACGTGGCTATTTGTATCATAACAAACACAAGCACGGGGTGCATAAGAAATGTCAGGCCCAACTTTTCGACACATTAATTTTGGAAATGACAACTCTGAGGTGCTTCCGTGGAGGAGAGGTTGTCAATTTGAAATGAAAAACGGTTGAGGAAATGAAAGAAAATATGTGTCCTGAGGTTGGACCTATGGCATTAGAAGCCACTCGCTTCCTACGGAGGAGACTGACCCCCACAAACAGCGGCTGCTGTTTGTGAACCTCCCAAAAGGTTCCTTGGCTCACCAAAGCCACAAGTGCAGCCAGAACTTGCCCAAGATGCTTTCTGTCAGAATCCACTCTAAGCTGATCATTCCAGACTAGTGGTTCTCAATCAGGTGCAATTTTGGCTCTACCCGCACCCCTTGGGGTGATTTGGGAATGTCCGGAGACCTTTACTTGTCTCATCTGGCGGGGGGGTTGCTACTGGTATCTAGTGAATAGAGGCCAGGGATGTTGCTAAACATCATAAAAAATACACAGGACATCTCGCCACAACAAAGAATTACCTGGCCCAGAACGTCAATAACACTGAAGCTGAGAAACCCTGTTCTAGAATATCACCCTCCCACGGGAGCCATGGCAAAGCCTAGCTTGGAGTAGGAGCAGGAAATGAAAGAATATCCATAATGATGACAACCTTAAAGTTTCTTCAAGGACACAGTAGATCTGCACCAAGGTTTTCAAGACAGGAGAGTGGAATAAGCAAATAGCTCTGCCACGCGGGTTCAGATTGCTAATTTTGCACTTGAATCGAGGTGGTATCAGATACCCTGTGTGTTTTATTTTTTCTGTTACTATACTAGCAGCATTACCAGGGCAACCTTGAGACTCTTCAAAGATTCACTTTAATTATTCAGTATATAATATATACATTTTAAAAAATGTTCAACAAATGGAATTGTATTGTGCAAGACTCACTCTACCCTAATTTTTAATTTAAATCAGCACTTGAGGTGGAAGAGTGTCCTGAATCTGTCTTTTAGACATAGGGCTGAGCAGTTGTTCCTGTAACATGGCAAACACAGACTCAAACCATCTCAACCGCCTGTGTGAACTATTGGCTTTCAACCACATCTGAACCCAAACGTTAGAAATGTTCAGAAGGATTCAGATTCACAGTGGGGCTATTCACCCTGGTTCTGGTATGCATATCCAGGTGACAGAGTGTGTTTAGAGCGTGTTTAAGTTACAAGTCAAACTCAAATTCAGTGTCATGAGAAAGTCTGGTGATTAGAGAGAGCTACAATTTAAAATACCTATTTCCCTTTGAATTCTTTAGCAGAGCTCATGGTGTCCATCACATATTAATTTTTTGATTGGCAGTTTCAAGATTTGCGTATGTAATGTGCGGTTCGTAAGAATCAAATTGTGAGCCCCCACATAATGGACAAAGCACCAGTTCCCCAGCCTGCCCAGCAGTGGGTTCATCTGGGAATGCGTACATGTCTCTTCTCTTAGCCTACAGGGCATGGTTCACCAGGGGGGAACAATTGGATTCTCTTTTGTCTTCCTGGTCAGCAAGGATCCTCACCCCTGACTCTCCTTTACCAGAGCTTTTTCCACACCACTCAAACCTTTACTAGGCAGTCAGATCTGGCCCCTTAGACTCTAAAATGAAATAAAAAATACTACAAGAGAAAAATGCCAGGTCTGAAGTACAGAAGAATAAAAATGGAGTAAATCAGCTGACGGTAAGCTGGCAGGCTGGAGCCATCACCAGTGGAGGAGCCTGTGCAAAGATATTTCTTTCTTTTTGTTCCAGAAATCCAGTCGTCACGTCACCATCAAGCAGTGATAATTACAAAAGCGGTTTAAATAGCTGTATACTATGTATATTTTATATAGCAAGAGAGAAAGAGAGAAATTTCCTCTTAGTAAAATATTCACTTTTGTCAACCCTAAAAGGTTTTGCTGGTGACCCTGTTGTAGCTGGCAGGAGTTTGTTTGTTTGTTTTGAACATGTGCAGTGTAGAAGCCATCACATTCTCTCCTAAGAACATGTCATTGGTTGGGAATTTTTTTCTACACAGTCTGCTTGCCTTGGCATTCACGTTTTGAACACTGAGCAGGCTTCCACCAGTCCCCGTGGTGACAGTGACAGATGTTACATTCATCCACTTTCACTTCAATGCCAGCTGGAATTATTGTCGTTCCTGCAAAGCAGTTTGGACCTGGAACACACACATACATTGATTAGTTGAGTAAGTCTGGGAGGCTCCCCTCTCCCTTCAAAGAAAAAAACAAAATCCAAACCCCAGAGCCATGAATGAGTAGGTCAGACAACTCAACTTCTTAAAATCAAAGAATTTTCAAGTTGTCCCCTTTAAATTTAAACTTTCAACCCTATTAGCTTCTCCACACAGCTCATAATCTCCATGTATGTCATGCATCTAAAAAAAAAAAAAAAAAAAAAGCCCAATCCTCAAAAAATCTTATTCTCTGCCTACTAAGGACATACAACTTTCTAAATGAAAGTTGTGCGGATTACATTTTATTTCTTTGTGGTTTGGGGTGTGAAGGCTGCGGGAGTGTCCCCTGTAAATGCGAGAAGAGGACGGGCATGGTTTCTGCATCAGGCGACGGTACCCGGTGACCTGTCCTCGCGCTTACCGCGGTGGACATGAGACAACGAACTCACACATGCTCCAAGTTTCATCACCACCTGGGCCCAGTTCCTGGAATCCCCGGCTTGTTTCTTGATAACAATGACCAACTCATAACCACATGATTTATTCATGTCCCAAACAAGCTTTGTTAGAGGTTCACTTGATTTTCATAAATGGAGTTCTTTTAATGGGCCGGTGATCTTCATTTCTTTATTTATTTTAAAGAACGACCCAAATGGTTGGCTTTTGAAAAGTCAGCAGGACTTTTATTTTATTTTATTTTCAGGTTCATAAAGCTTTGCTGACAATGTCACCTGCTCATTATAGACGCATGCTTTTAAATTCAACCCATCTCAGTTCTGCACCTGTAGTCTCTCTGCCTTTTCCCTGATTCTCTCTTTAGTCGTTTATTTTCTCTCATCCTTTTTTCTTTTAACCCTTCCAATACAGGGATGCCAGTATTCAGGGTTACTTAATATTATTTCTCAAATTCAAATGGAGCAAAAATTGCTCCCCAAGGTGCGATGGATTTTCATGGAGTTGTGGAAATTGCCGCTTCCTTGAAATGGTTTAGTATAAGTCTCTGAAGCACACATCTAGGTAAAGAGAGGAAGCGATGAGTTGTGTCTACTCATGATTTATTAATCCAACATTACTGGCCACTCACCATAACTGCTACAAAGTAAAATGGCAGCATGCATCAATATCAGAATGATGTTATAGTGCCTTCTTACCAGTTGATAACAATTTATGGGCCTACATACCATCAAATAAATGAAATCAGGGGCTATTTGTAGTTCCACTTTATAACTGGAATCTTTTGTTTTTTTAAAAAAATTTAACTATTAAGCTACAACGCATATTTATCAACACAAAAACATTTAATATGCTCTGGCATTAATCACCCATTGTTTTAGAATCTCCAGACGGCAAATGTGCATACACTTATCAATGGTGTTTGGTGTATACATGCCTTTCCTTCATTCTTTAGGACAAAACACTGGGGCATGTGCCTGAGCAAGGAGAACCAGCTAGAATGGGATGAATATAATGGGCTAACTCTGACAATTAAACAGGTAATGATGTGTCTGCATTCACCCCGGGAGGGTGCTTCTTTCCAGGATGCTGTGGGTATAAGTCACTGGCCATCCTAATTACTGATTATTTAAGGGTTACTATATCAATTCCACAAAGACCTTGGGTAGTACAAATGGTTAACATGCTCAACTGCTAACCAAAAGTTTGGTGGTTGGTTCAAGTCCACTCAGAGGCACCTTGGAAAAAGGCCTGGCAATCTATTTCTGAAAAATTTGCTATTAACAACCCTATGGAACACAGTTCTACTCTGACACTCATGGAGTCCCCATGAGTTGGGATCAACTCAAGGGCAACTGGTACTTGGTATATCAATTCCATAAGTCCTGGGACTTAAGTCATTGTTTGATAGATCAGACTGCTTTTGGAACTACCAACCAAAAACAAACCAGTTGCCATCAAGTCGATTCTGACTTATGGCAACCCCAGGTGTGCCAGAGTAGAACTGCACTCCATAAGGTTTTCCTGGATATAACCTTTTGGAAGCAGATTGCCTGTTCTTTCTCCCAAGGCACCTCTGTGTGGGTTCAAACAGCCAATTTTTTGGTTAGCAGCCAAGTGCTTAACCATTTGCACCACCCAGGGACTCTTTTGGGACTACTCCTCCCTGGGAAAATTCCACACCAAACATTGAATGTGTTCTGGACCCAGAACTGAGGGAGTCTTCAGAGAACATGGCAAGGAGGACTTTCCAGAATGTACCTGGTTTTCCCATGGCTGTTGTTGACAAACTTCTCTTAGGCCAGCCAGTTCTAGGCCAGAGAGGATCTGGCTAGAGCCAAACCAGCTTCAGAAATTGAGCTAGATGAAGACTCCCACCTGTTTGCCTGGAGTCACCCCAGAGGAAACAATCACTCCTCTCTTCACCTCTCCCTTTCTACCCAACAGTTTTCACCTTCATTGGTCACTTCTGACTTCTCCAGATGGAGAAAGAAAAACATTTTTTTCCCCTAAAAAGTGGTTCAAAACAAAGAAGTCCCTAAAACAGAGAGAATTTCATTCAGTAAGAATTTTTCCAGCTTCTTGAGAGAATTTGGAAATTTATCAGAAGAATCTTGACTTTTTCTTTTTTTTTTGAAAAATAAGAAGAGACAACCTGCTGGCTTACAGGGGCCAGGTCAATCCCAAAGGCACAATGAGAGGAAAAGACAGAGAGAGATCTTTGTGAACAGATGTCTTACAGGTTACCCTGCGTATCTTGCAAGGATGTTTTACTAGAGTTCTAATTTTCATATCTGCCCTTTCTGCATACGTCGGTAAGTGTACTGCTATGAACTGTATGTGTCTGATTAACCTTATACATCATTTCTTCAGTCGTTTTGTATTTGCTGCACTCTAAGCTCAGGAAAGATTGATTTGCATTGATTGACAGCATGTAAAGAAACGTCTTTTGTGTGTTGCCAGGACTGACCTGTTAAAGGCACTGCCTATAAATAACATAGCAAGTTCTCAATGTCTACTTGACAGCTAGGTATTTTAAGGGATCGAAAACTCCTGTTTGATCTCATTAACTTTATTAGTACAGTGATTTTATTAGCACCCTTCTGAGAACCTCAGGTATAACTACAACAAGGCTCATGTTTGCTGTTAATAGTCTTATCTGCTTAAAAGTAATTTAGATAATTACCAACAAGAATGGTGGACTCTATTTAGAAACTGTCTGGTTTAGGCCCGTCCTCTTTCAAAATGGTGACAGAAAATGCTGATTTGCGTTGAGCTGAGGGATTTTATATGTGAGTGTCCTCCATGAGTTCCTTACATAGGAATGCTATCTTTACTCCTCTTCTCTTGCCACTATTAGGGGAAGGTTTTCCTTTTGTCTTGGTCTATGTGAAAGAGTAAGTTGCTCAGAAGAGTGAACCCAGTAGCGAAGGCAACATATTTTAATGTGGAGGACTTGGAGAGAGTCCAGAAGGGAGCAATGAAAATGATTAAACTGCAGGTTGGCAAACGGAACCTCTGAGAAAAGGTTAAAGGGATTGGAATTATTTAATCTAGACAGAGAAGACAGGGGGATAACTCAGTAACTCTTAAAGAATGAAGGCTTATTATGTGAAGAATGGTGTCTAACTGTTCTCTCTTTTTTCTGGAGCCTAGAATAACGGGAAATGGAGATACATTGCATGTCACCAATTTGGAAACACTCACACACACACATGCACACATGTAAATTCCTCAGAGAAAAGAGAATTGAGTGTGCCGGTTGCCAACAATGTGGTGAGATCTCTACTCTCAGAGATTTTTTAGAATATAGGAGGTCTCACCTATCAGGTATGGTTTAAGTCTTCAGCCCTTGAAGACAGGACTTGAGTATTTGTCATTCTGTATGGTCCAGGCCTAATATTGTGTCTGGCAAATATGTTTGTTTAACTGAATGGAACAGTATGAACTAGCTATATATTGGAAGGAATCCCTGGGTGATGCAAACAGTTAATGTACTCTGCTGCTAACCAAAAGATGGGAGATTTGAGTCCACCCTGAGGTGCCTTGGAAGTAAGGTCTGGTGATCTACTTCTGAAAAATCAGCCATTGAAAACTCTGTGGAGCACAGTTCTACTCCGACACAGATGGGGTTGCCATGAGTTAGAATAGACTTGACAGCAAATGGTTTATATATTGGAAGCAAACGTACTTTCTAAACTTAGGGATCAGAACTTACTTATATATCAGGCCTAGCCTTAGTAATATAGGGATAGATATATATGTTAATAGATACAAGCACACAGCAATCATTTCTGTAGCACTTCCTGCCAGGAATTTATGTCATTTAATCTTTGTAACCAGCCATGTGAGGTGTACATTTTCAACCTGTGGACACTAAGCCTCAGAGATAGAAAATAACTTGCCTGAGATCACATATCCAGGAAGTGGCATCACTGGGTATGAATCCAGATCTTTCTGATCTATAGGATGCTTCTAATTGCCCAGGAAGAGAGGTAGGTGTCTAGCAGTGCATCACTGTGTGCCTTTGCCCAGATCCTGAGCTTCCAACTGGGTTTAGAGGTCCAGTTGGTCTCAGTATTGAGGATAAGTACTAAGGTTAGGAATTTCATGGCTAGAGAGAAGGGGGACTGCTTTTCTACACAGAAATTTATCAAATTACTGGTTTTATATTGTGTATCCATATAGTCTCCCGGAAACTTAATTTATTTAAAAACTAAAAGAAATGTTCCAAGGAGAAGATGTTTGGATGGTGAGGCTTTCCTTTTGGTGGTAGTGAAGTCCCTACTGGTACGGGATATAGACTGACTAAGGAGCAGAATGAAACTGGACTGCAACTCAGGAGACCTCATTCAGACTGTGGTTCTATGACTGTTTATGTGACTTTGGGCAAGCACTTATGTAACCCAAATACAAGTGGGAGCCCCTATGGTCTAGTCTTAGCAAGGAATCATATTTTTAGAAATACAAAAAAATTAAATTCAAATCTTTACTGAGGAGTTGGAGCCAGGAGGGAAGAGAGAAAGTTT